CTATAAATGTTCATTAATTACACAGGAATTGCAATTATTTAAGTTAATGCTTGGAAAAACTGGAACATTTACATTGTTAGAAATACTAGAAATACTTACATCTGGACCAATGTTTATAGCATTTTCGCTCCACTCCTGTACCTACTTTCATACATCGTTTTGCAATGAAGCCCTTCCCACAGTCGTATTACAATATACTATTGTTATAACTTAAACTGATAACACTATGGTTTTCAAAATAAGACTCTTAGCATTATACAAACAAAATTGACCCGATAACTTAAAGCTGATAGTCACTATTGTCAGATTCGTATTCGAAAATCTCGTTGTTACTAGCTCCTTCGCCAGAAATTTAAATTTCGAAATATTAAATGAAAAATACAAAAAAAAAAAAATAGATAATTCTACTTTCCAAAACATAATAACTAATGAAAATGGCCTCTATAAATCATTATTTTTTAGCTTTTGTTTGAAGAGTTCTTTCAATGGAGCTGCAAAAGCATAAATCCAAAAAAAATATATAAGTATTGAAAGGACAACGAAAAAATACTTAGAAGCGGCTGATTTTAAAGCAATAAAATATTTCGTTTCCTACACCCCTGTCACTCAATCCCTTCATTGCAAAATTTTCAGGTGGGTATTTCGAAAAATTCAACCCAAACTATTGTCAAAAATTAATCAAATGTTTATTTTTACATTCTGCACACCTTGAAGGTTTATAAGTACTTAGGAAACACTCTGTACACTCTGAAGTGTTGACTTAATAATTATAATTAATTTTTGTATAAATTTTGCGAATTAAATTAACGCAAAATACTTCAGGCGTACAACTAATTTGGATGGCATTAAAAATCTGTTGAATCGTAAGACGGAAACTGCAGATATTCCATAACGTCCGCATTCGTTTTATTTCATTGCGCTTCAAAGTTTGCATTTCAAAAGGAGAAATGGCACTTCCCAATTCGTGACTTGACTTGGAGTTAGGGTGTTCTCTGTCAGAGCGTCTTCCTTGCATTCTGCAACCATAGTTTTAATCAAAATGTCAATTCTGAATATCATACGGGCTGTTAGACTATTGTAGTGCACGTATTTACATCATAAATTCTGGATTATGTATTAACAGATGATATTATGGATATGAAATAGTTTGAAAAGTTTAAAAAAAGTGGTAATTCTGGAGTACTTCAGTATTGTGATAAAACACAAGGTATATACAGTACTAATCAAAAATAGGAAAACAAACCAGTTGTATTATTCTTTATTTTATTCCAAGACTGACCCGTCCTTTTTTGAACCGGCGCTTCAGCATTTCCTTATTCAGCTCGAAGGACAAAAACAATTCTCTTCCAAGGTTTGCATCCTTCTGCCATTTGCAATTTTTGCATTTTCCACCTTACATTTTTTATGCGGGCGTGTATCCATTAATTCATATTGTTTTTTACTGTAATGCATTTAAACCCACGTTAACTTCCTTCTCTGTTCTTATACAGGGTGTCCCAACTAAAAGTAGGCACCCTGAATACCTTTGGAGATAAAAATTTTTTGAAAAATTGGTGAAACACGTCGACCTTGTTTCCAAGGGGGACATATTTTAATGTAACACTTGTATACCTATCACCATCCCTCTACCTACACGTACACCCCCTCAAAAAATTCAAATGGCAAGGGGGATCGAGTGATACATCTTTTGAAAGGTCTTTCAATTCCCTACATAACTGTGTATTTTTTTTTTAACTTTTATCGATTCGTTCTTAAGGAAAATTATTTTATATTTGATGATTACACACAACCGAAATCGCTTAAAAAATCTAAAATACACGGCACTGGGTATTGGAATTTATAAAAGAACTAGATTTTCTAGTCCTCTCAAATCAACACGAGTTTTTTCGACAAGAAACATTTTCCTTGTCCGTTTAGTTTTAGAATAATAAAAGACTTATAAGTATTTGATAGTCCTTGAACATTAATTTGTTCACAACCAATTTTAAATCGAGATACATTTTACGAGAGTGAGTTTTCAAAATGGTTTATACCCTTCAGGAGAGAATAGAAATTGTCAGCATTTATTTTAAAAATGATAATTGTGCTAGAGCTACGGAGCGCATATTCAATAGAAATCACCCAGATAGAAGGGTTCGTTCTCAGTATGTTTTACAATTATTGACATAATTTATAGAAACAGGTTCTGTAGGAAACAAAAAAGCATGAACCTCAGCGACCGATTAGGAATGAAGCAGTCGAAGTGGCAGTTCTGGGTCATTTGCAGATAGATAATACTCAATCGATAAGGAAAGTAGCTGAGGCTTCCGGTGTATGACGAAACAGTGTTCATCGAATTGTAAAGGCCCACAAATTTCATCCATATAAATTTAAATTGATACACGAATTAAACGAAGATGATCCCGATCGTCGGCTTGAATTCTGTGAGATTTTCAGTGAACAGTTAAACGGTAATGCCAATCTACTGTACAATACGTGTTTTTCTGATGAATCTACATTTCAGTTAAATGGGGAGGTAAACAGGCTCAATTGTAGGTATTGGAGTGAAACCAATTCACATTTGTTCATGGAAACTCATATCCAAAAGCCTCAGAAGTTAAATGTTTGGGCTGGCATCTTAGGGAATCACATTGTCAGGCCATTCTTTATTCCTGACAATTTAAATGGCGAAAGGTACCTCGATCTGTTTGAAAATAACATTGACCCAATGATTACCCAAATCCTCGAAGAAGACGATAATCTTTTAGAAGGCGAACTGTGTTTTCAACAGGATGGGGCACCCCACATTTTGCTATAGCAGTCCGTCAATTTTTGGATAATTGGTTTCCTGAGCGATGGATTGGAAGAAGAGGTTCTGTGGAGTAGCCCGCTCGGTCATCCGATTTAACTCCCTTGGATTTCTTTCTGTGGGAACGCTTGAAATCGAAGGTATTTGCAACAAAACCCGCATCTCTGGAAGAGTTACGTGAAAAAAATTGTTCGAGAATGCCGTTTATTGACTCCAGATGTGTTCAGGAATGTTCGTACAGAATTTCAAGATAGATTATATTACTGTATGGAAGTCGGTGGGGGTCATTTTGAACAATACATACGATAATTTAAACTGCTTTTATTTTTATTTCCCGAACCTAAAATAATGAAACAATTATTTCTCAGGAACGAATCGATAAAAGGTCTTTTAATAGATGTATCACTCAACCCCCTTTGCCATTTGAATTTTTTGACTGGGTGGCCGTGTAGGGTAGAGGGATGATGATAGGTATACAAGTATTACATTAAAATATGTCCCCCTTGGACACAAGGTCGACATGTTCCACCAATTTTTCAAAAAAATTTTATCTCCAAAGTTATTCAGAGTGCCTTCTATTGGTTGGGACACCCTGTATATATACATATTTATATATCGTAATTCTTGTAGAATTCCTGAAGAAGATACAATAAACGTATCTAAAAGTCGGTTTTTTTTAAAAAAAAATTTAAAAGGGATCTTAATCCCATAAAAATTGATAAAAACTCTATATACAGGTTGTAAATAAACTTAAGACAAGTGATAATTTTGTTTGAAAATACCTTAATTGGCAGACGTAACTTTAGAAGTTCTTTCGTTCTTCTTGGAATGGGCTCAATACGCTTTTTAACATTGACGTATAGATTTGCTCACTATTACCGAATATAAAATCATGAATTTTGAGATATAATGCACTAAATGAAAGAAATGACACGGAACGTTGATTTTCTTTTTTGACTTACTGACGTTTTTTAAAATATTCATAATCGTTACCTTGGATTTCGAGTAACAAACTGTGTACACAAAAATTGCCAATTGATTTATTTCTCGTCAATGCATGATCCGGCCCGAAAGACCAAAAACTGTTTTTGAAACACGAGCTCAAAAAATGACTAGTCGATCCAACTAACTGACATTCTAAAGTTCACCATAATTTTGAATTCTCTGGTAATATCTTCACATTATCTATAATTTTTACATCGTTCCAGCCGGGATTGTTATAGATTAACAAAAATTAATTTGTCGGTGTAGTTAATTGCTCTTATTTCGAAGTAACTTAATGATTTAATTTATTATGGCTGTAGCCAATTTGTTTTAGGAAACGGGAATGTAATTAATTAATGTTTAGAAATTTAGAGTTCTTTAATTCCTTGGCTGCAAGTCAGAGTACTTAAAACTTTTAAGTAATTAAATTGTTGGTTAAACCGACGTATTTTTAAGTTAAGTAAATACATAGTGACTTGGGAAACTTCCATTATGAGACATTTATTATCTTGGACGAACTAATAGTAATACGGATTAAAAATAATTTAAGTTCATAATCAAGAATAATGCACTTTTTGTATAGTTTTTTATTGAATTATTATTATCATCGCCATTTTTTGCAAATAAATTTATAAATTAGAGAAAAATTTGATTAATAACTAATTCTTTATATACCTCTTTTACATTCTAAGCGATTTTAAATATTTTGAGTCCCAATAATAAACAAAGCTATAAACTGTTTGGTAAAATTGACAAACTTAATTTTTTTTTGTCATTTTAGAACACATCTTTATTCGAACAATTTTTCTTACTATGACAAATACAATACGGTAAGTTGGCTACGCGTCTCAAAGCATCCTGTATAATGACGCAATTTTGAGTTGTTCCCACACTCAGCTCTGGGAGGATTTTTAATATGTTTCTACAAACACACTGCCAAAAATCAACTTTACGTGCATTTATTATGAATGAAGACAGTTTTTTATTTATTTTTTGGAGAGGAAAGCTACGTTGGCATAGAAATTTTATTATTTAAATAATCTAATATTCAAATGAAAACTGCATTATCTTAGATTAAAAATTTTATTAAACACTACAGGCAATCAATGTATCCTTGAAGATATCTCAAGGTATCTTATGTGGGAGAGGGCTACACATTTGGAGACAATGGGCACACACTCAGTGTCCGAGTATGCTAAAATTAATTTCTGGGTTAGAGAAAATCCTAGATCCTCGACCGGGGATCGAACCCGGGACTCCAGGATGAGAGGCAAATAATCTTACCATTCGACCACGAAGATATGCAGAATTTTTTTTTTTATGAAATTTGTTGTATATTAAATATAAATTAATGTATTCAAACTTACACAGGTTGTTCAAATTTTCCTTGGTCAATCTCAATTTCTCATGAAATAGAGAGTGCTCAATATTCTAAATCTACCTTTCAGATTCCATAGCCAATGTAACAGACTATCTTTATTATTATAGGCACGAAAAAATTCCAATAGATTTTGGTGTAATCGATTGGAGTACAAATTGATATATTTAATTAGTATATAGTACAATCTGTTACTTTGCACATCCTGTATAAGTTTTAAATACTTCAATTTGTAGTCCCATTGACATACAACAACGTTGGCATTAAACTTTTTTCGTATCCGAGATAACAAAGTTTTTATTTGGACTTAAGTCTTAAGTGATACACCCGGTACGTTTATAAAAAATGGAATTCCTAATAGACATAACAGTCATCAATGGACAGATAGAAATTCTCACATTATTCGTAAATACAACATCAAGGTCACTTTGGTGTGAATGTTTGGTTTGAACTTACTGGAAAACATCTTATACGACGACTTTGTCAAAACACATACAACACAGTTGCGTGGTTTCAATAAGATGGTGCTGCTTCCCATAACTCAATATTGGTTCAGAATTACTTTAATAGCCAATATCACACTAGATGTATTAGAACATATGGACCTATCCAGTGGCCACCCCGATTCCCAGATTTAAATCCTTTGGATTATTTTTTATGGGTAACGCTAAACATTATTGTATATGCAACACCCTCCTTAAATACAGGACATTTAAAACAAAAAATAACAGATGCCAGTGCAAGTAAGAAGATGCTACAATTTTAAAAACTACATAGAAAGCCACCCGCAGAATCAGTACAATGGATTAAAATTGTGTGTTTAATTTGTATTATGTGTATAATAAAACCGTTATCACATATTTCAAACAAGAATATATAAAATTAAACAAGTGAGGTACATTCACCGCTGCGGTGAAGATGCCATATAGATTTTCAGAAGACTGACAAAGTACATCGGATCTGTTCCAGAATGATTTGTTATTCGATGCCTGCAATAGTTGTTAAAATTGCCAAAGACACGTTCGGGAATGATCGCAGCGGTCCGGGAATGCTCGAAATTGCTTCCTTATGTTCGGTTTTATTGAAAATGATACCCCACATGCCTCGCTTGACCTCGGGTATCTTCGGGTAACTACGGAAAGGTTCGGGTCCAGTTCGGGTTTTGAGATAAAAACAATAACCTCGGTGGCTGTTAGCAACCTTGAAACTTGCTTGCACTTTTTAATTTCTTAAAACGCTATTGAAAGTGCTTATAACGCCTTCAAGAATGATCAGAGCGGTTCGTGATCAGTCGGAGTGATTCCAATCGATTCCGTGGGTCCGATTACTTCGAAAGCGATACCCCACAAGCCTGGATCGCATAAGGGTAACTTCGGGTGACTTTGGATATCTTCGGACCGAGTTCTGTTTTTTTCGGTTAAAAGAACAGCCTGGGTACGTGTCAACTCCCTCGAAAATTGAATTTGTTTCTCGGTTTCGGCAATCGTTGTTAAACTTGCCTTATACGCATTCGGGAATGATCGGAGCGGTTCGGGAATGCCCGGAATCGGTTCCTCGTGTTCTGTTTTATTAAAAATGATACCCCCGCAAGCCCCGTTTGCCTTCGGATATCTTCGGGTGACTTCGGAAAGGTTCGGGTCCAGTTCGTGTTTTTCGGTTAAAACTGTAGCCTCGGTGGCTGTTAACAAACTCGTTTGCCCTTTTTAATAGCTTAAAACGCTATTAAAAGTGCTTATAAAGCCTTCGGGAATGATCGGAGCGGTTCGTAAATAGTCGGAATCGGTTCCTTGTGATCCATTTTATTGAGTCTTATGCTAATATGCCTATATTTGTACCAATTCGGTCAATATTTGGGGCATTTATTGCATTTCCAAAAAAAAATTCAAAATTCTTAATTTTTTTTGCCCCACTTCCCGTTTTCGGAACCGACTTAAAATCAACACGCATATGTAGACCGTAAAGGTCTACCCCTGTTACCAAGTCGATCGGTCAATATTTTGAACAGATATCGCATTTCAAAAAAAAAAGTAAAAAAAATTTGGCTTTTAGGCCGTTTTGCCCCCCCTTCACGTTTTCGGAACAGGCTCCAAAACAATAGGCATATTATGTAGCCCTTAGAGGTCTACATCTGTTCAAAATTTGAAGTCGATCGGTTAATATTTAGGACAGTTATCGCATTTCAAAGGAAAGTAGAAAAATTGGTTGTTAGGCCGTTTTTGCCCCATTTGCCGTTTTCGGAACCGGCTCAAAATCAATAGGCATATGTAGACCATGGAGGTCTACCTCTAGTAAAAATTTGAAATCGATCGGTCAATATTTGGGACAGTTATCGCATTTCAAAGAAAAGTTTCCGGACTACCGGAGTTCCGGAGTTCCGGAGTTCTGGACAGACGAAAAGTTTCTAGAAATCTCGAGATTCGGATAGATCCCAAATTTGAGGTCGATCTGATCAGCCGTTCTCGAGATACGGGGGCCCAAATTTGCCAAGCATAAATGTGTATATAGATTTTTTTTAAGAAAATCTATATGACTAGCAAAAATTTCATCACAGTTTCATGATGTGCAGCAAAAATTAGATAACAATGGAAAAAAAATATTACAGTGTTTCCAAAGAAAGAAAATATTAAAGGCGTCGCAACTCCTAGCATCGATGCACCAAAAACATCATTTGCTACCGAATTCGTTAAAATAGGTTGTGCTCAAAGTAAGGTTTCTTGCATTTTTCAAATATCTCTGGGCGGGAATTATGGGACACCCTGTACGGAAATCACGTCCAATGAATGTGTAAAGTTTATGCTGAATTTTAGTAAATATATCTTCTCATTTACTACCTTGATGATATCAAAAGCAACCTCGGAATGAGTAGCTTAGCAACGTCTCATTTTGTGTTCTAGTATAGAAATTATACATCACTTAAATTTATCAGTTTGTTGACACTCTCAAAGCCTTCATATGCGAGCGTTTACAGGCGTTGTGATGTCTTGTTATTTTCTGCAAAAGACACGCAAAGCATTCCATACTCTTGATTCACTTGACTTATGAATGTGTCACTTAAAAAATATCTTTCACCTCTCTGGAATATACACCCATCAAAATATGTCTTCAATTTATGAAAATTCTTTGAATAAGTTAGATCAATACCCTCACTTATTTTCACCTTTCATTTCGTTTTGCCTATTTCTCTACTGCAAATCTTTTGAAGTTTACATTTATATAATGACTCTAAGATCTTAATAAATATACATTTGAAGCGCTATTTCGTAAACTGAATATAATTTACGTTCGAAGGAAGCCTCGCGGAGATGTCGTTCTTCGATAAGGTGCTTTGATGGAATAAATTATTATGTACTAGGGCTTTTAAGTACTTACTTTCCATGAAAATTATGCGGCAGATGATTGATTATTTTTATTTTTGCTGCTTTCCAATAGTAACTCAAATATATTTTCTTACTGAGGTAATAACAAGAGTATAAAATAGCTGTAATCTATTCGTTTGAATTGAAGAATAAAGAAATATCGTATACAGGGTGGACCAAATAAATGGAAATGACTTTTGCTTCCAAAAAAGCAAGCCTTAACTTCATTGATAAGAACTGCCTATAGCGTAGATTTCGACTGTAAAGCTGAAGTGCAAGACAAATAACAATGGGGGCCGCACATATAGGTCATTTCATCTATTTGTAACATAAAAAACCTTAAAGCATGCCGACAATTAGCATAACAGGAGATCGGGACAACATAATTTTTTTACAGCAAGTTAAAATATGCAGTATAAATATAACTTCATTTAACAAATCATGATGCTTCTATAAATTACTCTTAATTAAGTCATTTTAATACAAAGCCAATAAAATAAATATAGTTTAAAAAAACTAAAAAACACGCTTTTAAAGTACATCAAACTAAAAAGTGAAAAATAATTATTAATATAAACTGAAAACAATAATGAACGAAAAATACTAGTATTATTGTGAAAAACCATGGGTTGCTCTATATACGAAAAATATTGCACAAAGCACCCCACGCTTTTTTCACAATAATACTAGTATTTTTCGTTCATTATTGTTTTCAGTTTATATTAATAATTATTTTTCACTTTTTAGTTTGATGTGCTTTAAAAGCGTGTTTTTTAGTTTTTTTAAACTATATTTATTTTTAACTTTTTAGTTTGAAGTGCTATGAAAGCGTGTTTTGTAGTTTTTTTTAAACTATATTTATATTGCTTATTGATGCTGATATTATAACATATTACGATCCAATAGATATTTCTGAAAAACAAAATATTTTTTTATTTCAGCCATGGGATTTGAACTCACGCCCGAGGAGTCTGTCGTTTCGCGTCGACTGCCTTAGCCCGCTCGACCACCGAGCTAACTGACAATCATGGAATGTACTTACATATTAAGCCTTTGCTCTTACGTAGAGAATACGTGAGGAAAGGACTGGCGATCCTGATCAGGATAATTATATAAACTTATCAAATTATTGTATTGTTACCGGTTCTTCGTAAGTGTACAAAGATTCAATTAAATCTGTCCGTTTAAAGTGGGTCAAAATCGAGTCCAAAGAGTCGGTTACAAACAAACAAACAAACAAGCAAGCAAACATACAGGTGAAGCTAATAAAAGCGTGTTAAAAAGAGCCGTATTAATCAATAATTGAATTTCTTTTAATTTATCCCACTTTATCTCAAAAATATCCGACCCTCGTTTAATTGCGTTTAATTGCGACTTATCTCGGGATTGTTCAGTGTTGCCGATATATAAAAACCGCCCTCTGAGTAAAACATATGATACTCAAATATGAAACTCACTTATTCTATCGGGTACGTTTAATTTATTATATTATCTTTAAAAATCATAAGAATATGATAATTCGTATAAATTTGTTATAATAAATGTATTGCATTTATTTAGTACTAGA